TTGGATGAACCTGAATTTACAGACACAATCAACCAACAAATTCAAACAGTAAGTAGAACTAGATGGGAATATACTAAAGAAAAAATATAACACTTGCATTCAAGTTCTGAAATCCTGAAGCATATCCATGACTTTAGTTGCTGCGGGCTTGCGGGACCCCAAGGGAGGAAATTGGGACAGGTCAAGTGGGAAGGGGCCCAGGGAGGGGACACTAATGAATTGTGGAGGGAGTATCACCTAAAATTTGGGGAATGGATTGTGGTGGATCCTGATATTCCCATGAGAGATTTGTCAGACTTCCCGGGCCTTTTTCCTCCACATTCAAGAAGTATTGTTCAGAGGACATGGTTTGGGCACGAGTAAGGTCTAGATGCTGAATATAGAATTCAGTGAAATTCACTAATGTTCTGAGTAATTGCTCCCCTACCATAGCTAGGGGGATCAGGGCTAGTAGTAGGAGATAGATCTGGCGCTCACAAAGGGGTGAAGAGGCCTTGATTCTCCCTCATGTGGGGGAACTGACATTTTCATCCCCCAACCTTGTTGTACTAAATTCACAGTTGTATATGTGGGATGGAGGACCCGGTTTCCAGCGGTTGCAGCTCCCCACCAATAGATGGTGTGACTGATTAGGTTCGAGTAGGGGTGGATGCTCATATTATCACCCTTCCGATAAGATCCTAGAAGGTCGTAACTTCAGGAAAAAAAAAAAAGAAGGTCTGGAAGGCATGGGGCAGGCGGGAGGGCAACAAAATTAAAGGCAGACAGAAGATGGCGAAGGAAAGGGCATGACGCAACAAGCCAAATGACGACAAACAGCAGTATAGGACAAGGGTTGGACGTGGGTGGACACAGAAACAGCATGGCGCAGCGAAGCAAACCATGAAGGACAGGGCAACACAAGGCAACCAAGGGAAAGGGATGAGGCGGCAAGGCATAGGATGACAGAGCAGCAAAGGACAAAGGGTGGAGGGAACGGGGGAGGTGGGAGGGCAGACAACACACATTGTCAATCCAACAAATCAGAAAAGAATATATCCCAAAAAAAAAAACTGATGATGAGAGATTGTTACACCGAAGTTGCACCGATTCATCAGGAGGCTGAACCCTCGACAATCTGTGGAATCTCCGTATTGCTGGTTTGGGTCATGAACCCTTTGACCCATGTTGAAGGCAGACTGTCCCCAAGCGGAACAAAGCAGCGGCAGCAACTCAGCGAAGCACGAGGCAAGACTGCCGAGGCAACACAACTGCACAACGCCAAGCAGACGAGGAGCACAGCAACCACGCAGCGGAACACACGACAAAACCAACAAGGCAGCCAAATTACACTGCACACAAGCAAAGGACATGGAAGGCACGACATGCAGATGGGCCGCGAGGCTGCAGAGCAGCAAGGCATAAGGCAACACCAACACCGCGGCCACACCACACAGTGAACACAGCAGATTGCAAAGAACGACACATGATGGAAGCAGGACGGGCAGCAAGGCAGCAGTGAAGCACAAACAATGCAGTGTACAAATCTAACACGGAGCAAAGCGGCACATCAGCTACTCACATCACCATTGAACGCCGCAGACTGTTTATTCCCACCACCTGCTGAGCCAGAAGGTACTCCAATGGACATCTATCATCCATGCATAGACCTTATGCACCACAGACATTATAGACAGAGTGCCCCCCAAAGAGTCCTGCAGGCACTCCAAACACCTGACCACTGACTATTTAGCACTTCTTAAAGGTGGTCATCTAGCAACACGCACAGTTACTGAGAAAAAATCAAGAAAGAGAAAAAATAAAAAGAGAGAAAATAGTTCAAAATACATACATACATAAGAATGATTGTGTGTGTGTGTGTGTGAGCGGGGGGTGTTGTGTGTGGTGTGTGAGTGCTGGCCATACAGATGCGGGCGGGGGAAGTGGATGGGAAGCGCAGCTACTGGCAAAATGCTCAGTCTTTGCATTAGCCGGCCTCCCCCTCCTGCGGCCCCACCCAACTCCCTGACCACCGCCGATTCGGGTGGGGGCCAACATGCATCCCGTTGATTGTGAGAGGTAGAAAGCTATGCTTGCAGGGGTCCCCTGTATAGGCTTAGGAGTAATGGTAGGTAGGTAGCGAGATTTGAAATTGAGAGAAGAATATAGCTTAGCTTTAAAAAGATACAAACACAGAGCAGTGCTTCCCAGCCATCAGATCACAAATGATCCGATCACAAATGATCCGATGGCAGACGTCACCACCATGGCGAAAAAGTAACTGTCACCTTTCTTAACAAGAAACAAGACCTCTGTTGGCAGTGATCATGACCCCCTCCATACTCTCTGTGATTGAAGAAGTGCTTCAACCAATGAGATTATTGCAGAAAAGTAAACCAAGTACTGAAAATGTTCTATCCCCCGGGGGTATGCCCTACCCCGCCTCTCATTGGGGTTGGACATAACCCCATGGGCTACATTAAACTTTCGAGGGAAGCTCCCTTTTCACTGCCATGCCCAGTGTTAAGGAGAGGAGGAGGGGAACTAAGATCTCTTTCGCTTTAAAATTTCAGTAAATACAAGAAAAACACTTACCGTGGGATCACATAGGATTGCAGGGCAGATTTGGGTGGCTTTTTTTTTTTTTTTTTTTTTTTTCAGATTTTCACTTCAAATAGAGCACTGAGGCTGGGGAACCTCAACATTACACCTGGTTGGTCTCTTGAAGCATCATCCAGCTTAACTTACAGACGTATGCCTGCGACTCCGGCTGCTTGTACTCTACCTACGCAATTATTATGTTGAAAAACAAGAAAGGAAGAATCATCCAGCTTAGCATACAGACGTATGGCATTGCCTGCGACTCCGGCTGCTTGTACTCTACCTACGCAATTATTACGTTGAAAAACAAGAAAGGATAGAAACAGTACAGTAAAAAATAATGCAAGGGAAGAAAACTAATGCTACTATCACACTAGCTCTATCTGACTGCATTTATGGACGGGCCTGGATGTATCTGACCGCAATTACGTCCATAAATAAGTGAAGAAAACTCCCAGTGTGAGTATGCCCTTAAGCCCCCAGTACCTTTTCCATATATAGACCGCGGGGAAAAAATAGAGTAGAAGCGTTTCTAATCGGATGAATTTGGGTGCTCCCATACTGGCTCGTTCGTTCATTACTGTCGCCGCTTTCAGAGATACTGGTGGTTTAAACCACCAGTACTTTCGAGGCCCTTTTCTGCCGGGCTGGAAACTCCCTGCAAGCCAAAAAAAAAACAAAGCAACGTGGGGCCTCCTTTTGACTGGTGTCGCCAGCCATTTCACTCCGGAGGCCGAGGCTGAGCCCGAAAGTTGCGCCGGCATGCAAGCCGCATATTTTATTCTTTGGCTGGGAAACGTGCTCGTTGGGTTGCAACGCGGCTCATAGCAAGGTGCATCTAAAATCCCTGCCATTGGAGGATGTTTAAAAAAGAAAAGAAGAAAGAAAGATTGCTGCCATTTTGAACGGTTAACGTCCTTAAACCACCAGTACTTCCTAACATAGTGCCCGTATACAAGCCACAATTTTCGGAAACATACAGGCGACTACAGGAGCGCCCAAATTCATCCGAAATGTTTCACTGTATTTTATTTGGTGGCCAATAGCTGGGCCAAGTACTGGTGGTGTAAGGGTCGGACGCCACAGGTATGCGGAAAGGAAAAAGTTTGCTGCAGACGTGTTTCCGGGACCCCACACCTCGCAGAAAAGATTATGGAAAGGCCGAAATGTCTTCCAAAAACCGTATTCCGGGAGGACCCCACAGCCCACATATCGTGGCCTGGAAAGATCGCCTGTGGACATTTTCACAGCATCCGCTGTCTGGAAAACGGCGAACGGAGGAAATCATGCCGCAAATTTGTGCCGAAAGCCGAGGTTGGCCCCCTGAGCCGTCTTGAACTTTTCCAAAACCAGGTCCCATGGACAGACCACGGATTGTTCGTCCATGCATTGTCCGACGTCGGTGGAACATGTGACCCTGGAGCAAATTGCCGCCCTGCGGTACCGGCACGGCCATTCCCTGAGGTCCACCCACGGCCTCCCGGACAACCACCACTTTCCTTTTTCGGACTTCATCCACCAAACTTTACTTTCAAGTTTACGGAAGAAAAATACCGCTTTGCCGCAAAACGCACTCCGCGGTGGGGTCCCGGAAAAACACTTCCAACTTTCCAAAACAACTTGCCAGCTTTTCGTGGCCACACGTCTTTTCCATCCGCACCGCAGTGGGGTCCGACCCTAAGGGTAGGTGGGCCCCACTGGACTATGTCCAGGCGCCGTTTGTAGGGAAATCTGGCGGGCAGAATTGGCTGGTTAAAATCACCTCCATCCAACAGCCGTTGGATGTCAACATCTCAAACCGTACTTACAGAACAGAGATACCTCAGTGGGGCCTGCGGGATTTGCTAGACCCCGACCTTGTTGCTCAACTTCACAATTCTTGTGAATATGCTGACAGGTGGAATGCACACAATCATCCCTGGACCAGGACCACTTCGCCTACCTCAGTTGATACACCCCTGACCTGAACTGTGCAAATACAGACCTGAGTTGAAACTGCACTGGAAACAGATAACTGAGATAAGTAAAATTATACTACAGTAATTCTCTGAATTACCTAGAGCCGCTCAGTTGGATGATGATATCTCTAGGCTGTCGCCCTTTTCGATCCACATGCGTGAGTTCGGAGTCCACTGGCTCAGGCTTCCACTTACTAAGGTGGATATGCTCTTACTCCACGTGCCCGGCAAGAACCATACCCACTTCTCACTCTTGGAGATGCTTGGAACATCATTGCTCATCAGCCAATGATGATTACCATCTCAACCCAAACACAACACACACTCATCATGTCATTGACTGTATTGGGCTAGAAGGATAGCTTATTGGACTAGAATGATAGCTTATTGGACTAGAATGATAGCTTGTATCCATTTGAAACACAAGACACCTTCAATATGACAGGATTGGTTCAGGAAGATAGCTTGTAAAGGAATTTGTGAGCAGGGTGCATTGTGTTCGGGAGGAAAGTAGAGGTGGCATCTACACTTGGTCATTTTGACTGTGGTTTCAGCAGCGAGATCCTTGAGATTTTGCGACCCTGGTCATGGCCTACGGAGAATCGGACAGCAGGCTCTTCTACCCTTGCAAGGGCAGATCTTCCCTTGGACTTAGAACGCTGCTGCTTATCGGCAGCTGATAACTGTAAGGTCTCATCATCAACATGCAATGAGGACTTCTTCAGCTCACCCGCACTACGTGCCACCGGTAGAGAGGAGAACGTTGTCTGCTTACGGGTCTTATGGGGATCGGCGGGTGAAGTGGGAACTCCTACTTCCCCTGCGCGAGGGGCAGAGCTGGGCCTGGACTTGGGCTTCTTCTTCTTCTTCGTAGGGTCAATAACTGATGCCAGTGGTGGGTTTTCATCCACAAAATGTTGCGCGGATTGCTTTACATCTGCTTTCTTGCGTTGATTTGCCTTAATATGTGGTATCTGCTGAGAAGAGAGCGCCTCATCTTCATGCCTGGGGTCGCTACCTGCTGGCATTGGGAGCACTCGATCTTCTCCTGTCACAGACTGAGAGACCTTTTTGGACTTCGATTGCTTCCCGCCAGCGAGTGACACAAGAATTGTACCCTCCCCTGTAGTTTTTTTCTGCTCTGACTTCTTCGAAATTCGCCGACTTGCACTTTGTGCATTTAGTACCTGCACAGAAGAGTTCCTTGCATTCTCTTCGCTCTGGCTGTGAGCTGCAGGCAAGGGGCGACCATCGTCCTCTCTCCCGACAGAGGAAGATGCCCTTTTCGGCTTTGGATTCTGGTCGGAAGGTGGTGCACGGATGGCATTGGCATCAAGATGCTGTAAAGTGATTTGTGACTTCGATTTCTTGCTTTGGTTTGGTCTCAGACTTCCATCTTGATGGCTCTGGCGACGCTCGGCAGGCAAAGCCACACCCAGTTCTTCTGTCTTTGCTGAGGCACTCGTCCTTTTGCGCATTGATTGCTTGCGCTCGGCAGGACTCGCAATGACATCTGATTCACCATCAACACGTTCTTGCCCACGGGTTCTCAACCCCGATTTCTTACGCAGACTTGAAGTACGGGTTTGATGTGGAGAAGAAGTCGTTGCATCTCCATGGCTCTGATGACGATCTGAAGGCAAAGGCGGAGCTGGTTCATCTTTGTTCGAAGAGGAATAAGTATGTTTGGTCTTTTCCTTCTTCCCGATGGTGGTCAGCTCTTGGGTGCCATTTCCATCAGCATCCGTTTGTGTGTGCTTTTTCGTCTCTGACTTCTTGCGCTTGCCTGCACTCCCTCTAACCTGTGTAGGACTGTTTGCAGCTTCATGGCCCTGATGGAGATCTACAGGCAAAGAAGAGGCAACCAGCTCCGAGTCTCCCTTCGCCGACGCAGAGGAGTTTGGGGGCTTTGAGTGCTGCCTGTCTGCAGGTAAGGCAAGCTGCTCGGCAGATCTTCCTGACTCTGATTTCTTCTGTTCACTTCCAGCTTTCCCTGCTTTTAATGAAATGCTTGCAGATTTATGACTGCGACTACGACCACGACTGTGATCTTCAGAAGGGTTCTTGACTAAATGGACAACAGGGAAGGCAGAGAGGTTTCTGCTCACCGACAATCGAATCTGAATACCTCCTTTTTCTCTCAGACTGCCGGAAAATTCAGAGACTTCAATGATAGGTTGGGTCGTACTCGATGCGTTCCTCTGCTTTGCAGTGCTGCTCATGCTGCGGCCGCTGGTGAGCGGCTGCCTCTCATCTCCTTTTTCATGAGGGAGAGGATTCCGGGTGTCATGGCTAGAAGACTCTGTCTTGTTTTGTGTGGAAGTCACCGCTAATTCCTGTCGTGTCGAATCTGTGCTATTATCTGATATTAAACCCCTTGAGATGCTGCGAAGAGGCACTGCCAGTTGCAGCCCCCCAGGCTCACCCTCCGTTGCTGGCGTCTTGTTCCCTTGGTGTGAGCGTTGCGTTGACTCCGTGTCACCGCCATCAGCGGACAGCCCGTAGAAGTCGGAGTTGTAGAACACGTCTGTGTAGGGAGGCGCATTTGCATCAACAGGCTTCACAGTGCCATCCAGCATGCTTGGCACCCCCTCAGATTGAGGAGTGAGTAAGTTAGACGTCGGCAAAGCCAGAGCAGTGGAAGAAGAAGGATCGGTGTGCGGAGGGGATGCACCCGTTGCTTCTGCTGCTGCTGCATCTGACGATGCCGTAGCACCGTCATGAGGGGACAGCGGATCTTCAACGTCTCGTTGCTGTACGGCGGCGGATCTCTCTGCGCTCAGGGACATCTCCGCCGCACTACCACTTGAGCTGACCATATTCAGTTCCTCCGTGCTCTGGTCGCTAAGGAGAGGAGGGCCATGATATGAAGACGAGGAGGTGATACTGGAGATCGACGGCTGTGCTTGCAAATTGCCTTGGGGGCTTTCCACGGCGCCTGTTGTGTCCGTCCCCGCTTGTAACCCCTGCAAAATTGCTGCCATTGCTGAGCTAATTGATTTGCCAGTATTATCCAACACGGCCAAAACTATACCTTGCTCGCCACGTGGACTCCTTGGTGTTGGAGTTTGAATGAATTTGGGGTTGGTGTCATTACCCGCTTTGCTTTCGGGCGATGCAGTGGGTGATGCAGTGGGTGATGTCGAGGATGGGCCTCCACTTGTGGTGGCAAGCACACCTTGACCCTTGTGCATAGAAGCGCTGAGCGTCCTTATTCGCACCTGCCACTGAGCTTTCCTCTGCAGCAACGCAGACAACGAATTAGACAAGACCTGATTCAGTCCGACCCGCGCTTCCTTGGATAGCTGCTCCAGGTCCTTGCCAAGCAAAAAACCAAGTTTTTGGTCCAAAAGGTCTCCCAATTCTCTTGCTAGCTCTACCTCTTTTCTTATCGCCTCGATGGCGTCTGATACCGTGGACTTGGATCTGCTGTCAGACAGGTATTCATTTAGAATGGCCCAGGTGGCGGCCGCTCTCCTCACCTCCCCTTCCAGTTGATCTGTCTGGCCCCAAGCTTCCTTGCTTTTGACCTTAGCTTGGGTCACTTGCTGAGCCAAGTCCACCATCTCTTTCCTCAGTGCTGCGATTTGCGCAGAGTTCTTATTGTCAGAATTTTCAATTTTCTGCCTATGGACTTCTGCTCGCCGCTCTGCAATTCTCTCCTCCATCAGCTTTATTTGGCCTGATAGTTGTGTGACTGTAACAGCCGCCTTCCTGATGTATTCCATCCATTCGTCTCTATGTGCAGGGCTGTCTGCTGCAAGAAGAAACTGATCCTGCTTTGCGACAGAAGCGTACTGCTCTGACAAACGGATGATGAACACGTACTGCTTCTGGTTCTCTGCGGCCCCAGAGGATTCTTTCCGGATCTCTACGGTGCATCCAGCCAATGCAATCAGGCCACGCGGAGGGGATTTTCTGTCCAGTATTTCAGTCTCCGGTTGGGATCGTCTAGGCTGAGAAGGGCCAGCCGCATCAAGGGCATTAGGAAAGCATTTCCCACATGATTTCATTTTCCCCAAAGCAGCAGGCAGCAAAGACTGGTTAGGCTTAAAGTAAAACATATAGTTGGATTGAAGGACAAACAGGCGCAGCTTCCATTTTCCAATTGACCCGGAGCTCTTCACATTCAGCCAGCCGGACAATCTATGTCTGCTCCACAGCAAGTTCTCGTCTTGTATGCCGCGTGGCCCGAACACGAGGTACTCTCGAGCAGCCTGCGCATCCTCTGATCGGGATATGGCCGTCTTCAACATCCCGTGCTGCTGCACGCAACAGCGAGTCCAGGTAGGACTAGGGTGACCCTGTAAGTCGTAACCATTGGCAAGCCGATTGCAATCAGAAGGGGGTTGAGAGTTATTCGTAAGGAAGGGGTCACCGTGGCAGTAGAAATGTAGAATGTAGTATACTCAAAGCTAAATGTACTGACCTCTAGCCTCAAGGAATAACTGCCTTGATTTTGACTTTTGGTTGACTTGCCAGCCAATCCGACTAGATAGACGAATTCCGTCCTGGTATTTCAAAAAATTATCTGGTCTGCTAGGCTACCAGAGTCGCTGGGGCCCACTTGCCCGGCCGGGCCATATATATATATATATATATATATATATATATATATATATATATACAGTGAGGGGATTCTGCAGACTGTTGAGGGTTCAGCCTCCTGATGAGTCGGTGAAACTCCGACGAAACAGTTTGTCACAGCCCCTCGTTTGTTGTCCTCTTCTCTCTCTCTGCCTACGGTTACCGGGCAGTTCTATTTGTGACGATATATACTACGACTTCACTAGCTTCCTGCTACATTTTTTTCCGGTCAGGTCGAGCGGCAGTGGTCGGGGCCGTTACTAGGCGGCCATGCTGTGCCTCTAGTGCCAGCGGCGTGTCTGGAGTGTATTTTTTGGCTGTGACAGACCTTTCTTTGTTTCGTGGATGTTTTGCTGGCTTGTGATGGGGTGTGAACCGACAGTCTGTAGAGTTTTCCATCTGGTGTGGGTGAGTGATAGTCTACTTTGATTTTGGTTAAGGTAGATTATCATTTACAGTGTAATCAGTGAGGGGATTCTGCAGACTGTTAGGGTTCAGCCTCCTGATGAGTCGGTGAAACTCCGACGAAACAGTTTGTCACAGCCCCTCGTTTGTTGTCCTCTTCTCTCTCTCTGCCTACAGTTTACCGGGCAGTTCTATTTGTGACGATATATACTACGACTTCRCTAGCTTCCTGCTACATTTTTTTCCGGTCAGGTCGAGCGGCAGTGGTCGGGGCCGTTACTAGGCGGCCATGCTGTGCCTCTAGTGCCAGCGGCGTGTCTGGAGTGTATTTTTTGGCTGTGACAGACCTTTCTTTGTTTCGTGGATGTTTTGCTGGCTTGTGATGGGGTGTGAACCGACAGTCTGTAGAGTTTTCCATCTGGTGTGGGTGAGTGATAGTCTACTTTGATTTTGGTTAAGGTAGATTATCATTTACAGTGTAATCAGTGAGGGGATTCTGCAGACTGTTGAGGGTTCAGCCTCCTGATGAGTCGGTGAAACTCCGACGAAACAGTTTGTCACAGCCCCTCGTTTGTTGTCCTCTTCTCTCTCTCTGCCTACGGTTTACCGGGCAGTTCTATATATATATCGTCAAATAGAACTGCCCGGTAAACCGTAGGCAGAGAGGGAGAAGAGGACAACAAAYGAGGGGCTGTGACAAACTGTTTCGTCGGAGTTTCACCGACTCATCAGGAGGCTGAACCCTCAACAGTCTGCAGAATCCCCTCACTGATTACACTGTAAATGATAATCTACCTTAACCAAAATCAAAGTAGACTATCACTCACCCACACCAGATGGAAAACTCTACAGACTGTCGGTTCACACCCCATCACAAGCAAGCAAAACATCCACGAAACAAAGAAAGGTCTGTCACAGCCAAAAAATACACTCCAGACACGCCGCTGGCACTATATATATATATATATATATAAAACTCCGACGAAACAGTTTGTCACAGCCCCTCGTTTGTTGTCCTCTTCTCTCTCTCTGCCTACGGTTTACCGGGCAGTTCTGTCTGTGATGATATATATATATTTTTTATTTTTTAATTTTTTTTTGTCGAGAACACCAGCGTTGGGGCAGGACAACCTGGCTGTCCCTTTTGTGGATCACCTGCTGGAAAACGGGTCCAGCGTCCCTTATACAGACTGATCTTGGAGTATCTTTTAGTACACAATTATGTGGTCCTGCTAGCATCGATTACCCTGGGGTCCAGGGGATTGACTGAGCAGGATGTTGGAGCGGGGGGCCTCTTCACCTTGAATCTGGCGCAAAATATCCATCTTCATACTGGTCCCTCACCCCTTTTTTTCAACTAGTAGTGTTGATACGGGGCCCTGTCATTCCAGCCGAATCATGGGTGGACTGACCAGGTGTGAGGGGGGGAAGGGAGGTAGGTTCTGCGTCCAGGGGGCGACTGGAACAGAGACCTAATCCCCCTATTCCCTTCCTCCCCCCTGACTGGTCTCACCATGGTTGTGCTGGACGACTAAGGAAATTCAAGAGAATTAAGAAGAGGTTGAAAAACTATGAATGACTACTGACCTCTTTTCAAATGCTCATAACCCTTAGACTCCCAAACAAAACTCTCTAAAATTGTCCAACACTGTCTTATTCCCTGCCGGGCTCTCCCAGGCCTCACACTCCCACTCGGCTAGGTTACAGAGCAACACGACTCGCCCCAGCTCCGGCCAGCGTCGTCCCAACAGCAACCCTTGGTTGTCCCTTGGAATGCCCACCCCAAAGCATCCCCAGATCTCTCTACCAGGCCGCATGCTTCTGCAGTCAGCACATTACAGGGCAACACCCCAGCACCGGCCAGCGTCGTTCTGGCATCAAATAACCGCAGATCCATGAATGTGTCAGTGTCAAACAGCCTAAAGCGAGTTGCTAGAAGTCCCCAGAATCCTAAAGCATTCTCTTTTTTTGAGAGCACATACAAAAAAATTTGGAGATACCGGGACTTCAACCCGGCTTTGTCTGAAGAATAAGGTCATGAGCAATTACTAGCCTATTCGCTGAGAAGGAATTTTAGAAGCAAAAAACGTTATCACTAAGGTCCTATAGATGCTAAAGAAACCTCGGAAACCCTAGCAAATCCTTCTAAAAATCTCCAACACTGTCTTACCCCCTGCCGAGCTCTTCCAGGTCTCACACCCCCACCCGCTCGGGTTACAGGGCAACACGACTCACCCTAGCTCCTACCAGCGTCGTCCCTCCAGGTTGCTCTGTTGGCCGCATAGTTGCAGGGGTGTTTTTCAAAAAAAAAAAAAAAAAAAGTTGACATTCAACTCACAATGGTTGCCAAGTTTTTTTTTTTTTTTTTTTTTGTGGAATGCATACTCTGACGAACTTGGTCCCCTTGCTTGGCCACATACTGAACATTCAACTCGAATAATTGCCAGAATGTTTTCATTGTGTTTTGTTTTTTCTTTAAGTTCTTTCCCCTCCCCCAAACTTTTCCGTTTTGTTTTCCAGAAAATAATAGTGATTTTCCGTTGAACTTGGCGGTCCCATTGCGACATAGTCAACATTCAACATACAGTAAATGTCAGACGATTTTTTTTTATTTTTTTATTTTTTTATTTTTTTTTTGCTGAAGATATTATGTTTATTGTGTTGGACTTTATGCTTACGGTGCGTCTTTGCTGACTTTTTTTTTTTTTTTTTTTTTAATTCACAATCCGTTTACTTGCAGCCAGATGTGCGTTGTTGTGTGTTTCATTCAGCCCTGGTCACATGTGCTGGCTACACCTTTTTTTTTTTTTTTTAATCTTTCGATTTTCACTCACGGGGAAACTGGAGGCGATAGGACTCCTGAGATTGACCTTAAATTTTGTGTTGTGCATTTTATGTCAGATGGTGATGAATTAGTCAATCGGATTTCATGGGTATGTGAACTCACTATTTGTTTACATGCAGCCAAAAGCGCGTTGTTGTGTGTTGGTTCTCCCAAGCCACTTGGGCTGGCTATGCACAACCATCACAAGGCGCATATATTTATATGGCTGCGAGTAAACAGATCGTGAGTCCAAATCCTGAGTTCATATGCTGTCAATTGTCTCTGTGCGTTGTTCATTGTGTTGGCATGCCAGAATCAGTCAGATGGTGAGGAAAATGCGGCGGTGGAGAAAGAAAAAGGATGAGATGGAGGACGCAGACCAACGTCATCCGTGTCCTGATATGCGTGAGCATCCTGCAGTGGGCTGTGTTAGCCAACTGTGCAGTCGTGGTCACCTTGGTTGCCTGGGCGGACCGAGCAAAAAAAAGAAGAAAAATTTCAAAAACGAACGAAAAGAAGGTGAAAAAAAGCAAAAAACTATGTTGTGCGGAGAAATACGCTGAACAACTTCATTTGTCTGACCGGGGTCGTATCTGAAAGGAAAATGAGCAATAGCCAAGTACACAATTCCGGATCGCAAAATCACAATGAAAGCAAGAGAGTCGCAAGCTGACCAGAAAGCAGAAATGCACTGATGTAACACCGAAAGAGAACGAAAGCATCAGACTCAATTGTCAATAAAAGCACAGTTTTGCCACCACCAAATTAGCGCTCAGCACCGAGAAAACTACAAACAATCGCACAACACTTGTACCAGCCTACAAATGACCACAAACGGTTATCGGATAGCTGAAAATTCAGGAATGAAAATTCTGAAGTGAGAGTTTTGGGCAGTCTAAAAATCCTGAATGGTCCTGAAGTGGTGAAAGGTCCGAAGACCCTGAAAACCACTTGTTTAGGCAGGCTGCATCCTGAAGTGGTCAAGTGAGAGTTTTGGGCAGTCTGAAAATCCTTAAAGGTCCTGAAGTGGTGAAAGGTCCGAAGACCATGAAAACCACCCTTCACCACTTGAGGATGCAGCCTGCCTAAACAGGTGGTTTTCAGGGTCTTCGGACCTTTCACCACTTCAGGACAATTCAGGATTTTCAGACCTGAATGGTTCTGAAGTGGTGAAAGGTCCGAAGACCCTGAAAACCACCTGTTTAGGCAGGCTGCACCTTGAAGTGGTGAAGGGTGTCCTGAAGTGGTGATGAAAAATACGACTGTTGTTAACCTTCTCTCCAAATGACGAAACAACCAGTTGACGTCAGCAGCAGCAACCGACGTACATGCAGATGTCGACCATGCAAACACGTTCCCTGCCCAGCCACCAGCCACCCGGATCATCCAGCTTCAGCAGCAGCAACCGAAACATGTTCCCTCTCTCTCTGAGACTCCTCTCTGTCTCGATATGACTTCTCTCTCTCTCTCTCTCTGTCTCTCTCTCTCTCTCTCTCTCTCTCTCTCTCTCTCTCTCTCTCTCTCTCTCTCTCCACCCTTCCCTTGGTGTGGTTCACTGTTGCTGGTTTCACAATA